TGATGATGATGATGATGATGATGATGATGATGATGATGATGATGATGATGATGATGATGATGATGATGATGATGATGATGATGATGATGATGATGATGATGATGATGATGATGATGATGATGATGATGATGATGATGATGATGATGATGATGATGATGATGATGATGATGATGATGATGATGATGATGATGATGATGATGATGATGATGATGATGATGATGATGATGATGATGATGATGATGATGATGATGATGATGATGATGATGATGATGATGATGATGATGATGATGATGATGATGATGATGATGATGATGATGATGATGATGATGATGATGATGATGATGATGATGATGATGATGATGATGATGATGATGATGATGATGATGATGATGATGATGATGATGATGATGATGATGATGATGATGATGATGATGATGATGATGATGATGATGATGATGATGATGATGATGATGATGATGATGATGATGATGATGATGATGATGATGATGATGATGATGATGATGATGATGATGATGATGATGATGATGATGATGATGATGATGATGATGATGATGATGATGATGATGATGATGATGATGATGATGATGATGATGATGATGATGATGATGATGATGATGATGATGATGATGATGATGATGATGATGATGATGATGATGATGATGATGATGATGATGATGATGATGATGATGATGATGATGATGATGATGATGATGATGATGATGATGATGATGATGATGATGATGATGATGATGATGATGATGATGATGATGATGATGATGATGATGATGATGATGATGATGATGATGATGATGATGATGATGATGATGATGATGATGATGATGATGATGATGATGATGATGATGATGATGATGATGATGATGATGATGATGATGATGATGATGATGATGATGATGATGATGATGATGATGATGATGATGATGATGATGATGATGATGATGATGATGATGATGATGATGATGATGATGATGATGATGATGATGATGATGATGATGATGATGATGATGATGATGATGATGATGATGATGATGATGATGATGATGATGATGATGATGATGATGATGATGATGATGATGATGATGATGATGATGATGATGATGATGATGATGATGATGATGATGATGATGATGATGATGATGATGATGATGATGATGATGATGATGATGATGATGATGATGATGATGATGATGATGATGATGATGATGATGATGATGATGATGATGATGATGATGATGATGATGATGATGATGATGATGATGATGATGATGATGATGATGATGATGATGATGATGATGATGATGATGATGATGATGATGATGATGATGATGATGATGATGATGATGATGATGATGATGATGATGATGATGATGATGATGATGATGATGATGATGATGATGATGATGATGATGATGATGATGATGATGATGATGATGATGATGATGATGATGATGATGATGATGATGATGATGATGATGATGATGATGATGATGATGATGATGATGATGATGATGATGATGATGATGATGATGATGATGATGATGATGATGATGATGATGATGATGATGATGATGATGATGATGATGATGATGATGATGATGATGATGATGATGATGATGATGATGATGATGATGATGATGATGATGATGATGATGATGATGATGATGATGATGATGATGATGATGATGATGATGATGATGATGATGATGATGATGATGATGATGATGATGATGATGATGATGATGATGATGATGATGATGATGATGATGATGATGATGATGATGATGATGATGATGATGATGATGATGATGATGATGATGATGATGATGATGATGATGATGATGATGATGATGATGATGATGATGATGATGATGATGATGATGATGATGATGATGATGATGATGATGATGATGATGATGATGATGATGATGATGATGATGATGATGATGATGATGATGATGATGATGATGATGATGATGATGATGATGATGATGATGATGATGATGATGATGATGATGATGATGATGATGATGATGATGATGATGATGATGATGATGATGATGATGATGATGATGATGATGATGATGATGATGATGATGATGATGATGATGATGATGATGATGATGATGATGATGATGATGATGATGATGATGATGATGATGATGATGATGATGATGATGATGATGATGATGATGATGATGATGATGATGATGATGATGATGATGATGATGATGATGATGATGATGATGATGATGATGATGATGATGATGATGATGATGATGATGATGATGATGATGATGATGATGATGATGATGATGATGATGATGATGATGATGATGATGATGATGATGATGATGATGATGATGATGATGATGATGATGATGATGATGATGATGATGATGATGATGATGATGATGATGATGATGATGATGATGATGATGATGATGATGATGATGATGATGATGATGATGATGATGATGATGATGATGATGATGATGATGATGATGATGATGATGATGATGATGATGATGATGATGATGATGATGATGATGATGATGATGATGATGATGATGATGATGATGATGATGATGATGATGATGATGATGATGATGATGATGATGATGATGATGATGATGATGATGATGATGATGATGATGATGATGATGATGATGATGATGATGATGATGATGATGATGATGATGATGATGATGATGATGATGATGATGATGATGATGATGATGATGATGATGATGATGATGATGATGATGATGATGATGATGATGATGATGATGATGATGATGATGATGATGATGATGATGATGATGATGATGATGATGATGATGATGATGATGATGATGATGATGATGATGATGATGATGATGATGATGATGATGATGATGATGATGATGATGATGATGATGATGATGATGATGATGATGATGATGATGATGATGATGATGATGATGATGATGATGATGATGATGATGATGATGATGATGATGATGATGATGATGATGATGATGATGATGATGATGATGATGATGATGATGATGATGATGATGATGATGATGATGATGATGATGATGATGATGATGATGATGATGATGATGATGATGATGATGATGATGATGATGATGATGATGATGATGATGATGATGATGATGATGATGATGATGATGATGATGATGATGATGATGATGATGATGATGATGATGATGATGATGATGATGATGATGATGATGATGATGATGATGATGATGATGATGATGATGATGATGATGATGATGATGATGATGATGATGATGATGATGATGATGATGATGATGATGATGATGATGATGATGATGATGATGATGATGATGATGATGATGATGATGATGATGATGATGATGATGATGATGATGATGATGATGATGATGATGATGATGATGATGATGATGATGATGATGATGATGATGATGATGATGATGATGATGATGATGATGATGATGATGATGATGATGATGATATGATGATGATGATGATGATGATGATGATGATGATGATGATGATGATGATGATGATGATGATGATGATGATGATGATGATGATGATGATGATGATGATGATGATGATGATGATGATGATGATGATGATGATGATGATGATGATGATGATGATGATGATGATGATGATGATGATGATGATGATGATGATGATGATGATGATGATGATGATGATGATGATGATGATGATGATGATGATGATGATGATGATGATGATGATGATGATGATGATGATGATGATGATGATGATGATGATGATGATGATGATGATGATGATGATGATGATGATGATGATGATGATGATGATGATGATGATGATGATGATGATGATGATGATGATGATGATGATGATGATGATGATGATGATGATGATGATGATGATGATGATGATGATGATGATGATGATGATGATGATGATGATGATGATGATGATGATGATGATGATGATGATGATGATGATGATGATGATGATGATGATGATGATGATGATGATGATGATGATGATGATGATGATGATGATGATGATGATGATGATGATGATGATGATGATGATGATGATGATGATGATGATGATGATGATGATGATGATGATGATGATGATGATGATGATGATGATGATGATGATGATGATGATGATGATGATGATGATGATGATGATGATGATGATGATGATGATGATGATGATGATGATGATGATGATGATGATGATGATGATGATGATGATGATGATGATGATGATGATGATGATGATGATGATGATGATGATGATGATGATGATGATGATGATGATGATGATGATGATGATGATGATGATGATGATGATGATGATGATGATGATGATGATGATGATGATGATGATGATGATGATGATGATGATGATGATGATGATGATGATGATGATGATGATGATGATGATGATGATGATGATGATGATGATGATGATGATGATGATGATGATGATGATGATGATGATGATGATGATGATGATGATGATGATGATGATGATGATGATGATGATGATGATGATGATGATGATGATGATGATGATGATGATGATGATGATGATGATGATGATGATGATGATGATGATGATGATGATGATGATGATGATGATGATGATGATGATGATGATGATGATGATGATGATGATGATGATGATGATGATGATGATGATGATGATGATGATGATGATGATGATGATGATGATGATGATGATGATGATGATGATGATGATGATGATGATGATGATGATGATGATGATGATGATGATGATGATGATGATGATGATGATGATGATGATGATGATGATGATGATGATGATGATGATGATGATGATGATGATGATGATGATGATGATGATGATGATGATGATGATGATGATGATGATGATGATGATGATGATGATGATGATGATGATGATGATGATGATGATGATGATGATGATGATGATGATGATGATGATGATGATGATGATGATGATGATGATGATGATGATGATGATGATGATGATGATGATGATGATGATGATGATGATGATGATGATGATGATGATGATGATGATGATGATGATGATGATGATGATGATGATGATGATGATGATGATGATGATGATGATGATGATGATGATGATGATGATGATGATGATGATGATGATGATGATGATGATGATGATGATGATGATGATGATGATGATGATGATGATGATGATGATGATGATGATGATGATGATGATGATGATGATGATGATGATGATGATGATGATGATGATGATGATGATGATGATGATGATGATGATGATGATGATGATGATGATGATGATGATGATGATGATGATGATGATGATGATGATGATGATGATGATGATGATGATGATGATGATGATGATGATGATGATGATGATGATGATGATGATGATGATGATGATGATGATGATGATGATGATGATGATGATGATGATGATGATGATGATGATGATGATGATGATGATGATGATGATGATGATGATGATGATGATGATGATGATGATGATGATGATGATGATGATGATGATGATGATGATGATGATGATGATGATGATGATGATGATGATGATGATGATGATGATGATGATGATGATGATGATGATGATGATGATGATGATGATGATGATGATGATGATGATGATGATGATGATGATGATGATGATGATGATGATGATGATGATGATGATGATGATGATGATGATGATGATGATGATGATGATGATGATGATGATGATGATGATGATGATGATGATGATGATGATGATGATGATGATGATGATGATGATGATGATGATGATGATGATGATGATGATGATGATGATGATGATGATGATGATGATGATGATGATGATGATGATGATGATGATGATGATGATGATGATGATGATGATGATGATGATGATGATGATGATGATGATGATGATGATGATGATGATGATGATGATGATGATGATGATGATGATGATGATGATGATGATGATGATGATGATGATGATGATGATGATGATGATGATGATGATGATGATGATGATGATGATGATGATGATGATGATGATGATGATGATGATGATGATGATGATGATGATGATGATGATGATGATGATGATGATGATGATGATGATGATGATGATGATGATGATGATGATGATGATGATGATGATGATGATGATGATGATGATGATGATGATGATGATGATGATGATGATGATGATGATGATGATGATGATGATGATGATGATGATGATGATGATGATGATGATGATGATGATGATGATGATGATGATGATGATGATGATGATGATGATGATGATGATGATGATGATGATGATGATGATGATGATGATGATGATGATGATGATGATGATGATGATGATGATGATGATGATGATGATGATGATGATGATGATGATGATGATGATGATGATGATGATGATGATGATGATGATGATGATGATGATGATGATGATGATGATGATGATGATGATGATGATGATGATGATGATGATGATGATGATGATGATGATGATGATGATGATGATGATGATGATGATGATGATGATGATGATGATGATGATGATGATGATGATGATGATGATGATATGATGATGATGATGATGATGATGATGATGATGATGATGATGATGATGATGATGATGATGATGATGATGATGATGATGATGATGATGATGATGATGATGATGATGATGATGATGATGATGATGATGATGATGATGATGATGATGATGATGATGATGATGATGATGATGATGATGATGATGATGATGATGATGATGATGATGATGATGATGATGATGATGATGATGATGATGATGATGATGATGATGATGATGATGATGATGATGATGATGATGATGATGATGATGATGATGATGATGATGATGATGATGATGATGATGATGATGATGATGATGATGATGATGATGATGATGATGATGATGATGATGATGATGATGATGATGATGATGATGATGATGATGATGATGATGATGATGATGATGATGATGATGATGATGATGATGATGATGATGATGATGATGATGATGATGATGATGATGATGATGATGATGATGATGATGATGATGATGATGATGATGATATGATGATGATGATGATGATGATGATGATGATGATGATGATGATGATGATGATGATGATGATGATGATGATGATGATGATGATGATGATGATGATGATGATGATGATGATGATGATGATGATGATGATGATGATGATGATGATGATGATGATGATGATGATGATGATGATGATGATGATGATGATGATGATGATGATGATGATGATGATGATGATGATGATGATGATGATGATGATGATGATGATGATGATGATGATGATGATGATGATGATGATGATGATGATGATGATGATGATGATGATGATGATGATGATGATGATGATGATGATGATGATGATGATGATGATGATGATGATGATGATGATGATGATGATGATGATGATGATGATGATGATGATGATGATGATGATGATGATGATGATGATGATGATGATGATGATGATGATGATGATGATGATGATGATGATGATGATGATGATGATGATGATGATGATGATGATGATGATGATGATGATGATGATGATGATGATGATGATGATGATGATGATGATGATGATGATGATGATGATGATGATGATGATGATGATGATGATGATGATGATGATGATGATGATGATGATGATGATGATGATGATGATGATGATGATGATGATGATGATGATGATGATGATGATGATGATGATGATGATGATGATGATGATGATGATGATGATGATGATGATGATGATGATGATGATGATGATGATGATGATGATGATGATGATGATGATGATGATGATGATGATGATGATGATGATGATGATGATGATGATGATGATGATGATGATGATGATGATGATGATGATGATGATGATGATGATGATGATGATGATGATGATGATGATGATGATGATGATGATGATGATGATGATGATGATGATGATGATGATGTGATGATGATGATGATGATGATGATGATGATGATGATGATGATGATGATGATGATGATGATGATGATGATGATGATGATGATGATGATGATGATGATGATGATGATGATGATGATGATGATGATGATGATGATGATGATGATGATGATGATGATGATGATGATGATGATGATGATGATGATGATGATGATGATGATGATGATGATGATGATGATGATGATGATGATGATGATGATGATGATGATGATGATGATGATGATGATGATGATGATGATGATGATGATGATGATGATGATGATGATGATGATGATGATGATGATGATGATGATGATGATGATGATGATGATGATGATGATGATGATGATGATGATGATGATGATGATGATGATGATGATGATGATGATGATGATGATGATGATGATGATGATGATGATGATGATGATGATGATGATGATGATGATGATGATGATGATGATGATGATGATGATGATGATGATGATGATGATGATGATGATGATGATGATGATGATGATGATGATGATGATGATGATGATGATGATGATGATGATGATGATGATGATGATGATGATGATGATGATGATGATGATGATGATGATGATGATGATGATGATGATGATGATGATGATGATGATGATGATGATGATGATGATGATGATGATGATGATGATGATGATGATGATGATGATGATGATGATGATGATGATGATGATGATGATGATGATGATGATGATGATGATGATGATGATGATGATGATGATGATGATGATGATGATGATGATGATGATGATGATGATGATGATGATGATGATGATGATGATGATGATGATGATGATGATGATGATGATGATGATGATGATGATGATGATGATGATGATGATGATGATGATGATGATGATGATGATGATGATGATGATGATGATGATGATGATGATGATGATGATGATGATGATGATGATGATGATGATGATGATGATGATGATGATGATGATGATGATGATGATGATGATGATGATGATGATGATGATGGTATGATGATGATGATGATGATGATGATGATGATGATGATGATGATGATGATGATGATGATGATGATGATGATGATGATGATGATGATGATGATGATGATGATGATGATGATGATGATGATGATGATGATGAGGATGATGATGATGATGATGATGATGATGATGATGATGATGATGATGATGATGATGATGATGATGATGATGATGATGATGATGATGATGATGATGATGATGATGATGATGATGATGATGATGATGATGATGATGATGATGATGATGATGATGATGATGATGATGATGATGATGATGATGATGATGATGATGATGATGATGATGATGATGATGATGATGATGATGATGATGATGATGATGATGATGATGATGATGATGATGATGATGATGATGATGATGATGATGATGATGATGATGATGATGATGATGATGATGATGATGATGATGATGATGATGATGATGATGATGATGATGATGATGATGATGATGATGATGATGATGATGATGATGATGATGATGATGATGATGATGATGATGATGATGATGATGATGATGATGATGATGATGATGATGATGATGATGATGATGATGATGATGATGATGATGATGATGATGATGATGATGATGATGATGATGATGATGATGATGATGATGATGATGATGATGATGATGATGATGATGATGATGATGATGATGATGATGATGATGATGATGATGATGATGATGATGATGATGATGATGATGATGATGATGATGATGATGATGATGATGATGATGATGATGATGATGATGA